ACTAAAACTGGCCATTTCGGGGTCCTTGTTGGGGTCCCTGTGGTTTGTTCCTGTGGAAGGCACATTGCTTCACTCCACTTGGGATTGCAGAATAAATAGTACTGTACCAGCTCTTTATGGAAACCTCTTCAGAAATAGCAGCTGTACTCAGTATGAACTCTCTACATGCTATGGGAACACAGATAGTGATGTGGATGTATCTTAAATGCTGACTGAAAAAATTGAGGTCTTCAAATGTGTAATATCCATATTATTTTCATGGCCTTGTAGTTAATCATTGTGCAGCTCAATATTAGATCAAGAGAACTTTCAAGGCCTTGAAGTTTTGTTTGGTGAAAGTAAAATCTGTGTTTTCAAAAAAACTTCTTGTTGTTCTTTTCTGACAGTCTCGTTCTGAACGCCCAGTGAAGTGTGCAGCTATGCTAAGTGAAATTCATTTCAGAAGTCTAAGAACAAAGATGCTGCTACAGTCCTGGATGGATGAGACAGCAAGACAACTGGAGGTGAGATTCTGCTTTGACTTGTACCTTGGGTTAACTTTTAGCCTGACTAATAAATTATCATTATGGGAGAAACAGTTCTCAATCTGAATTGAAACAGCCAGAATAAGGGGGAGCAGGGTAAACTGAGGGGGTGAATTGGAACACATCACCCTCTGTATGAAAGCAATCCTTGCAGTAATGAACACTTCTCAAGGTAGTGTTCATTAATGTGAGGATCACTTTCATACATTTCTTAAAACTGCAATACACATCTACTATTTTCATATAATTCAAATTCCTTGATACTTCAACCTCTGTTTGGTTTTCTTTCTTGACAGACAGTCACCTTCCTTTCAAGAGTTAGAAAGTTTCCCATCTGTAGACTATAAAAATTCCTTAAAAATTCTCTCTGTCTGTGAAATACACGGTACAGTACCCAAGAATTGGGGCCCTTTGCAAGACATCTACAAACTGTAATGCACTGTAGTCACATAAAGAGACTCTAAATTGTGTTCATTACTTTTGTGGACAGGGTTTGTCTAAGACACTACACACCCCTTGCACAAAGAGGGAGCAAGTCCACTTCAAAAATTGCAACATACCAAAACAAATAGGCAAAATTGATTGAACATATGCCTGCCCACATATTTGAGAAGTTGTCTATGCTAAGACAAATTCTTTTAAATTTGTATTTTGTTTGGTTTTCTTATTTGTTGTAGACTGCAAAGAAACAGATGGGTGTGGTTGAGATGCTGACCCTCCCAGATCATCTGATGGGTCTTGCCATTGGTGCCCAGGGCGCTAACATCCAACAGGCTCGGCGACTGACAGGGATCATCTCCATTGAGGTGGATGAGGAAAACTGCACTTTTCATATTTGTGGAGAAGTAAGTGATTTGTACCTCTTTTTAACCTTTTTAATTTCCAATAGTGATTAGCATGGATCTAGACTAGCTTTTTTTTTAGTTTTTTTTTTTACGTTTTAGAGCGAAGCAAGTGTGAAAGAAGCTAGAAGGTTGTTAGAATTTGCCGAGGAGACTGTTTTTGTTCCGAGACCTCTTGTGGGTGAGTTAAGAAAATTTTTCCTTTTTCCTTTGATGTACTTTTGAAACTCTAGTTCTGCCAATTCCGGTTGTTCCCTTTCTTTCATTATTTCATGAATTACAAGACCTGCTATTTAAGGGTTTCCTTTTTGTAACAAAGAAATATAATTGCACAATTAGAAAGAAAGGCTTTTTTTTTTTGAAAATGAAAATGATTTCCTGTCCGGTTTTTTTACGCATCAAAATGCAATAACTTTGACCGTAAATTGATTCTCTTGTTTGTTGCTGTATTTTTTCTTTCACCCAGGTAAAGTGATAGGTAAGAGTGGTCGCATTATCCAAGACATTGTAGACAGGTCAGGTGTGACGCGTGTCAAGATTGAGCCACCAGAAGATAGATCGTCGATGGACGAGAAGGCTGCCAAGGTTTGTTTTCATTACTTTCACCCCCCTAGTGTTTCCTATGCATGCAGTACGGACCTATAACTGGCCATGATAGTGCCCTTAACAATTTTAATTTTTTAATTTATTCCATTTCACTGCAATTACATGGGAAAATAAAACAAAAGAACACACAATAATAACAAATTAGGTTACATAACAAGGCAGTGGGGAAGACTAGAAGGGAACTGACGAACCATACGTGCTAGTCAACCCATTATGAAGAAGATATACGGAGGCCCCCTTTTGCACAAGAAAATGGCGGGAAACACGACCGGCGACTAACGCGGGAAAAATGTGCAATTAACTTCACGGGTCACTGGACAAGCGTTGCCGAGCGGGGGGACAGGGTTTCTCGTGCAAAGCGTGGAAAACTTGGAATTGGAATACATACCCTCAACTCGAGACTCTGCGTCCGTTGTCAAGCGGGAGAAAACACGTTGTTGCCGTCTACGGTAGGAGTAGGGGAATTAAGTTTGCTCCAAGCGCTGGTAACACAGAGCGCCCAGCACGGGCTAACGTACGGTCGTTGCTAAGCGCCGAGAAACCTACTACGGAGGCTGAGTGTGCATAATCTCGAACATGACGTAATTTGTTTGTTTCTTTTTTTTTCCACATAATTTGTTTCAGAAAGAAGTTTCCTTCCTTTTTGTTGGAACAAAGGAGTGCATCGCCAATGCTCGGATGATGTTAGATTATCATTTATCGCATCTAAGGGTGAGCATTTAATCTAATGTTGGATCGGTGGACAACAAGGCTGTCGATGGGAACTAACTCGGCGAGCAATGTTTATGTGGAGGGCTCCAAGTTGTCGTGGAAGGAATTAAATACATAAGTTCGCTGGGCACAGAGAAGTTAACTTTACAGGGGATCAAAGAGTAATGCAGTGGCCGTGTAAATGACTTAGACTGTATCGACTGCAAGTTTTTTCTTGTATTATTATACAGGATGTTGAGCTGATGAAGAAAGAGAAAGAAGGTCTGGACAGTCAGCTCAGGAGTATGGGGATAAACCCGCCCCCAGGCCCCGCTTATATACCCACTCCCGCGGAGATGCGGCCTGGACCGAGCCTCTCCTTCATTGGTCAAGACAATATGTTGAGCCTGCGAGACCGTTCTCTTACCACCGAGAGTTTCGCTGGGGATTTGAGTGAGGGGATGTTCGTGAGCACGAAAGACGGCCCGAGAACGAAGCCGACGATACGAATAAGGTCGAGCAGTGAGTCGGAAGGTACTGAGAACAAAGCAAACTCACAGCAGTCCACAAAGGTAAGTTTTAAATTTGAGCTTGGATCGTGATAAAGCGGGAAAGCTTTTTTGACTACCTGACTTCTTTAAGTCACAACTGATCATGATCTTCATCATGATCTTGCATCGTTCTGAATCTTGTTTTTTTGTTGCAGAATACTGGAAACCGGCGGGCATCAACGCCTACGCCAGAATTGAAAGGAATCGAGGAGGAGACTGAGGAGAGCGATCATGGGAAGAGTGAGTCTGGGGCGACCGAAAAAGATGAAGCCAGCCGGAAAGAGGAGGCCGTAACATGTAAGTTTGTTCAAGGAAACTTCGGTATTTCCCTTTAGTCTTGAGTGTGGTTAGCCTGCCTGCAGGCGGTAGTTTGTGTTTTCAAGCGCGAGTATATTCGCTCAGCATATCGGATGGGTGGAAGATTTGGGACGAGTGACAAAGCGAGGGGGAGGGGGGATGTTTTTCGGTTTTTTTCTCCCCTTTTCCCCCTCCCCGTTGCTTTGTCACTCGCCCCAGATCTTTCACCCGTCCAATATGGCTAGATTGTGGTTGGTTAGAAAGGTAGCATGGACATTATTGCCCTTTCCAGAAAAGCGTTGGGTATTGAGGAAAATGAAGCGAAATAATCAATTCCATTTTCGATACTCGAAATCACTCCTTACGTTGCGTGATTGACCATTGCGCAAATTACGATCAAAGTAATTATTTCCAATCAACATCATCTGCTATAATACGCAGAATTCAGTAGTCTTTTCCTATGAGAGTATTTTCACGTGACGTCTTCTTTTGACTTGTTTCCAGCTTCCTCCCCACCAAGAGAAGGAAAAGCTAGAAGACCCTCACCTTGGTTCGCCGGAGGCAACCGACGAACAGATAGCGAAGGAAAAGACGAGAAACGAAACGATGCACAACGAAAGAACAGCGATCATAATGACTCGAGAATAAACCACGGCAACGGAAGCAAACAGCAGGGCCGACAAGATCAGAGGCATCGAAGCGGAAGTAAAACTCAACAGCAAAGGCAACAGTCGCAACCAGTACAAAGACCGCGGGGAAATAACGGCGGCCAATTCCGGTCGAGCAGTGGAAGTCTCTCAGCGAACTGGAGAGAGCGCCAATCTGAGCCCACACCGAAGGATAAAGCGAAGGAAGTTGAGGTTAAGAAAGATAGTGAAAAGAACACGGAGCGGAAGGTCTCTAAAGGAGACGAAGATAAGAAGGCAAAAATACCTGAGGAGGTGAAACAAAATGGTGATGCCAAGAGCCCGGATGAGAAACCGAGCGGGCCTGTGAGCGATGAAAAGCCCGCCGACGCATGCACGGCTAAAAGCAAGACCTCGGAGACCAAGGAACCAGCCCTAGAGAACTAAACAAAACTTGTATGGGAACCATTCCTTTGATGTAGAAAATTGTACAGACAGATAGAAATCTATCTATCTATTGAATTATAACAACTAATTTATCGATGGATCAGATCTCGGCCTATTTAATTTTTACGCTCAGTGAGTGACCTACCGCCGTTCTTTTCGTGTTTCAAGCGAACGATTTCATTTCTAGGAACGATCTTTATCGATCCTCCCCACCCCATAGTAGTGTTAGTTTTGGGAAATCCTCGACCAACCAAACACTGTTTTGTAATGGTTTATAGGACCCTATTTAGGAAACTGAAACTACAAACTACTTCTTTCCGCACTCTTACACTTTGCAAACGTTAACTTCTACTGACTCCAACAATTGAAAGATACTTACTGCGATACTGTGAAAGATTGAAATTGCCAGATCTCAAATGATTTTAAAATTCATATTTTTATAACTCGATGCAAGTTACATCTAAGTGATGCAAAGAATAAAATGACGAGCAGTTAATGACACGATGCATATTTTTGCTGCATGCGACTCCTATATCACCATCCTAGACCCAGATATTTCCCCGTCTAGCTTTCTCACTCAGGCAACAAGTATATTACACGTGCCTACACCCAATCTTTACTTCTGAGGAATCACCTTAAAATACTACCATTCAAGTCTATCAATGACTTCATTTTCTCGTATACAATAATATATATTTAGCCAAGTTTAAAAGCGGAGCTCGCCTTTTTTTATCCCCGCACGTCTCAAGGGCACAACGCCTTGCCCCTGCCAGGACTAGAACCCGGGTCTTCCGACTCGGAGACCGGCAGTGCACAGACCACTGGACTACAGGACAAAGCCGTGCCGTTGGCGTGCCCGCGGTGCAGTTGACCGCGCATGCTAAAAGAGTAGCACCTTGTACGGACGTCCGTGCGAGTCATAAGTCCAAATGTTTTCGGCTTGATGGGTTACTACTATCATTTTGTATAATTATAGGGCTACGCTCTGCGAGCTCCGCTCTTACGAAAGATTACACCAGGCTGCATTTCAGTTTTGCATTTCAGATTTCACTTCAGATTTTATTTTGAACGATTTCTTAACATAGAAAATAACGAACCTTCATCATTTTCGTTCTGACTGACCACACGTCCTCAGAGTTTGCACTAAGCACTCAGGACAGTTTCGATGCAAATTTTCCAAATGTAACTTGTCTTGCTTAATGCACGTTTTTAACGGACAGGCAAGAGCCAACATTTGTTTAAATAGGAGAATAAGCTTGCCGACATATTTCTTTAATAACACTATTTCGCGCAAGAACTGAAAGTTTAGTCATGGTCTAAAGCACATCGACGTCTTCATTTCCTTCAAACTAATCCGCTTCCAGACGATGTATACCTATTGTTACTAATATATAGTTTTCGTCATACGATTCACATTTTTGCTATGAGCATTGCTCGTTTAAAATACACATCAAGAGCAAAAGCCTACTCTAGTCTCCTTAAATTCAATTTTTTAAATAACTGCATGTTCCAGTACCACGCAAGGCATATTCGCCCAAGTCCACAAACGGTACACACTCTGGCCAGAAGCGACACTATGCCTCGGTCTGTAGTATTGTGTGACAAATAGACCACTTACGGCGAGATTACGAAGCTTTACTGCGAGATTGCAGAACTTTATTGGATGAAAATATAGGAATTCATTCTTCTATAGGATGAAAATATAGGAATTCATTCTTATTAATTTATCTATCTCATCTAATTGATGACCACAACTTCAATTCCTTGCTTCAAATCTTTGTAACGCAACTTTAACTTTGGAATTGCCTTAAGTTCTTGTAACCAGTTACCAGTCCAGTCCAAGCCATGATAATTTTTTTCACTCGGCCTCAGGCCCTTGCTCGTCGTCGTCCTCGTCTCCTGAATTTGGTTCCTCTCCTTGTTCCTGAAATTGTACTAGCTGGGCATGCCTGTTCACAGCCTGGCCAGCAGAGTACAGCACTTTTTCTATCACGCCAGATTTCGGGGCTCGAATTACGTGCTGCAAAATAAGGCATTTCCTTGAAAAACACACATGCAAGCTTGTGACGTTCACAGCATGCTTCAATTTAAAAATTCTCCCAAAACCAGGCGGGTCAAGGAGACTTGAGCCAGTTAGGTGACGAAGAAATAAGATGACCTTTACTGAATTTCCAGCGCTGGATACAGGTTGCAACTGGTTTACGTATAAGGGCGCCTTTCGACTAAGTGTCATAAAACCAAAACCAATACAATCACCACAGCCAATCATAGGACGGAAGATATTACACGGAGCCAATGAGAACCCGAAGTACAAACAATTAAACGCCGAAAGCGCGGGAAAACGTGAGTCCCTAAGTCGCGATTGTTTTCAGTTTTGGAATATGATTGGTAGAGAAAATGGCACGAGTTTTCTTGACCAATCACAGAGCGATATAAAGTAAAAACAAAGCAAACCGGATCACTTTCCACACTCAACTGAGAGTTGCTCTATCAAAAAGGGCAGCATACACAAAAGAAAACATGTATTATAATTCACAAAAATTTGGTCAAAGAAAGTGATGACGAGAACTTTGTTAGCCAGTCGTGCAACTCAGCACAGCAACGTTGCTTTGAGGCCTACCCTCTGCTTTCCATATCTTTTTTCTCCCTCCTTCTCTCTCGTTTAATGTTACTGCAGTCTTGTGAGAGCCATCGGAAACAACCGAAATCTTTCTTACCTCCATTTTCATGGCCTCCATGACAACTAGCGTCTCGCCTTCTTTTACTGTCTGTCCTGGCTCCACGAAAACCTGCGCCAGACATCGAAACAATAGTGTGTCATACTTACCGATGGCAAAGTGAGGACAATTTTACCATCCTTGAAAAAAAACTCAGACATTTTATTCCACTTCACAGTATTCGGAAGGTTTCGTGGTTAGCATCGTCTTTCCGAAGCGAGCCAAAGAGTTTCCAACTCCCGAAATTGATAATTTCGAAATTTCTAAGATTTCGTACGTCAAACTTAAGGTCTTAAATATTTACACTTCTTTGAATTGCTGAGCGACATTTTTTCAGTTTTAGCAAATGTCTACATATATCACCGATAAAGAAAACAGATTTAAAGAGAGTCGATATTCTTCTAAGGCTCAAAGAGCACTTTCGAATAGGTTTTACCTAATCATTGTAACCTTGGCAGTCTTCCAGAAATTGTCAATCCAAACTAACGGGTGGGGGGAGGGAAAGTAGGATTACTACCGGCCTCATATCACCACACGTACCTTTACAACAGTGCCTGTCATTGGCGCAATCGCAGAACCTTGAGTTACAGCCGACGGACCACCCCTCAAGAACTTGGGAACCGGGCGACGTAATTTGTGACAGCCATCCTAAGACGAGAAACAAAACGTAATTCAGCGTTCCGTTCGACAATCGCCACGAGGAATTCGGTCATTAACGCGGGAAAACGCAAGCAATCACGCGGCGACATGTTTTAATTTTGCATCTGATAGGTCAGGCGGATGTGGCACGTGTCTCTGAACCAATCACAAAGCATAATGAAGAAAAACAAATTCATTCCCGGTTTACTTTTGACGCTCAGTTAAAAACTGCGTTATGAGTAATTCTGATTCAAAAGCTAACACTATGTAGGGTGCTGCGAGCGAAATAACAATTCACGCAAACTTTGGCGGAGGTCTAATTCATGCGTGTACCTTGGTAAATATGTGTATGGTTCCCTCCAAGTCAACAAGCCAAGATTTGAAGACACGTCCGTCTACATTAGCTGTGAGGCTGACTCGCGAACCCTCTGATTGTAGCTTGCCTTTCGCGTGCATGCGACGACCTTCGATCTGCGCAATACAAAATGGGATCATAACCACTTAGAATCTGAGTTTTTACCGAGTTCTTTTTTAATATGTCTTATTTTCCGGGCAAGAGGTCCTTGTTGGAAAAAGCTCTACCCTAGGACTTTGGTTTGGCTGAGTTGTAAAAAATTGCCTAAGATGCCGCTTTATTCTCCGGTTAACAACAACTTTTGCTTACCCTATAGCATATTATTACAACAATATATATAAGTTTTATTCTATAGTTAACGTGTAAGGAGCACTGGAACCCAAAATAACCAAGGGGTAAACGAAACTGAGTACCATGTTCTCCAAAAACGATTTTCAGCCACATTGACAGCCATATTGCTTTTTTGATAGGTAGGGGAGGTGTCAGCCGTGTAGTATTTCATGTAATATCGTACAAAAAGTCTCTTTCTGTTTGTATTTTATGGCGACCATTCTATAATATTGGGTCGCAACAATGATGACGAATTGGAAAATAATTGTGCTTAGCGCCCTGAATTGGTTAACAATCAAATCGCAAATATCAAAGTTGAAAAAATGCGAAAACCGAGACTAAAACCACATCAACGTTTTTCAAATATAGCAAAGTTTATCACGAGCCTAAATTAAATATTGCTTGCCTTAATGCCGACAAGTCACGCATACTCCTACTTCTACACTTACTTCTAAATTATAAGTTCCATCCTTGTTGTAAGAGATAATGATATACACCTCTAAAAAAGAAAAGCCAAACATTACGGGTTTTGTTCTAGAAAATTTTGTTGTTGTTCATCGTGGTTTGGTAGATAAATGAACATTTAATCGCTTGTCTCACGATGTAGAGTTAAGCTATCAATTGTATTGATCGCGGTATAAATTACGGTTTAGAGTACCATTCAGTGCCGGACAAGGAGTGCGGCTCGTGTTGAAGGATCCAATGAAGAACTTACTTTTATGAATATCAAGATTTTTCTTCTTTGACAAAATAAGAAAGAAATTTCTTGCAGATATAGACTCACTTTAAAAAGGCAATTAACTTTTATGGTCTAGCAATTTTTCGTTGTAAAATGTTTTTTTCCTATTTTCTTCTAGATACCTCTATCTGTTAAAATAACAGTAAACTCGAACAAAAATCTTAAATTGTCAGCAAAACCGCACGGACATCATTTAGTTTTCTTACTTCTATCACCGTCGTCCAGTCGTATTTTTCTCTTTGCCACGTTGTTTAGTCTGAAGCTCACATTAGAATTCCACACTGAAAACGGATCTACAAAGATAAGAACAAAAAATCAGAAATGTGCTAAAATAAATAAAATTTTTGTACACGAAACATAACATAACAAGTTCAAAATATATGAACTTCATATATTCATCGTATCTGATTTATCATCACGGGTTTATTACGAATCAACTTAACGGCCTGCTCCCAGTTGGCTTGTTAGCTCAATTGGTAGAGCGCTGCACTAGTATCGCAGAGGTCAGTGGTTCGAATCCCGTACACGCCCGATTTATTTCAGGTCTGATTTTCGCTATTGCATAAATAGCGCTCTCTACTGCGAGGATCGTGCATCATTCGAAACATAACATCATTGGAGATGCGAACGAGAATTTTCAAGCATTTCGTTCAGTTTTCACTTTTTAACTTTCATATTCTGATTTAAAACACCGCGATTTTACTCAAGACTGAAGAAAGCTTTGACGAGAAAACCTAGTTCCCAGGGTCTCTCCTGGGGGCGGGAAGATGAGAGACCCTGGGAACCTGCTTTTCGGAGAAGTCCTTCCCGCGAGTCACCTCTCCCCTCCACCCGTCAACAAAAATTTTCTCACCAGTAGAGAGCGCAGCTCTTTTTTCCTGTTCTTGTCTTTCAAGCAATAAGAGTCCCAAGCTTGCTTGCGCCAGTATTTCGTGACTCAGCGGTTTTTTTTCAGGGAACAGCTCTTGATGATGTTGCTGTAATGAATTTTAAATGCAGATTATTGATGTTTTTACACCCAACAGCGCATTACCCGGATTTACGAAAATGTTCCAACAATTTTTAACAAGTCTCGAAGATGTTACGACGTCGTCCGATAATTGACGAAGGTGTTCCGCGAAGGTTGCATGAAGATGTTACAAAACTACACAAGATTGTAAAGGGCAGATACTGAAAAACACTGAAATGCGACGAATACTCCCACAAAAAAAAGCACAACACCTTCTATTCACACCTTCGCATCCCCGCGACAACTATCAGTTTCTTGACGACATAACTACTTTTTTCTCAAGGCTTTAAAAACGTTGGACGCAAAAAGTATTTCCACCCACCTTAATAAAATCAGTGTGCACGTCACCTTCCTTGAAATGGGTGTGTTCACACAGATTCGACAAGAAACTAATATTTGTGTTCAATCCCACGATCTGTGGAGAGAATGTCGAGTAATCACCGCTTTCAGAAAAAAGAAAGGTTTCTACAAACACTGCTATGTGAAGAAACCTAGTACATACATGATACTGCTGAAGAGATTCCTTCAACAAACTCAAGGCCTGGTCCCTGCTTTCTGACCACACTACAAGTTTTGCGATCATTGGATCATAGTGCACTGATACTTCGTCGCCTGCAAAATAATAGGAAATGAATGAGACATGAAACCATCTGAAAACAAGCACATCAGCGAAACACATTGCTTAAAATTGAAAAGATCAAAAATCTTAATTGATAAATCATTTCAGTCTTTCAGACCTTATCTCAATTTTCAATTTTTTTTTTTTGAGTTTGTTTCTGGATTTGACCCAATGATTACCCCCTTGCTTGCAAAAATCTTAATGGTTCTTCCATTCTTTGGGATCTAGTCTCTACACCATTCTTGGGGTCTGGAAATTTCGATATTTTTTCAAGCATTGAAGACTCGCATGCTTTATGGCAAGAGCTAGATCAAGTTAAAAGATAACGCCAGGTTTAGAATTCTCTTGCCCTTTAAATCCCAAATAGGGGCCTGAAGTCTTGTTGGACTAATGTACAGGTAACTTCCCTTAAGAAGACTGGTCATATTATTCAGGGTGTTTACACCTGCATAAGCTAGCAGAATTACAGGTGATATAAATTGCTCCAAGTAATGCACATACCTTGTCGTACTCCTGTTTCAACTCTCATTGTGTCAGATGGTTCAGGCGTCGACAAATGTAACAGAGGGCCTGCCCCTGGCAGAAAATCACTAAAAACAAACGATCAGAACAATAGTCAAAATTCACAAAAACTGCCCAAAAGAATATCTCTGCTATGGAAGACAAGGCATCAACTTCGTTGCTCTAAATTCTGTGACAACATTCGTTCATGAACTCCACCATGACTCCACCAAAGACGACAGTCATGTCACACAGTGAGGCACTGTTAAAATCTTTCAGAGCACACAGTTGCTCAATGGACCAGAATAAACTTACAGCACGTGCTAATCACCGCTGTTGAAAATCAGCCAATCATACTGGAGCTTAATAAGCCGTATTCTAACTTAAAAGGATACAAAGTTTGACAGAACCGGCGTGTTCAGTGTTCTCCTTTTCTGGCGGTAATCGGCAATATGAAACACCTGTAGTACCTGGATTATTACCGCCTAAAATCGTTTGTAGTTCTTGAAATTCAAAGGGTGAAAGGATTGCCCTACCGGTTTTAAAATTCGTTTTTCCTGTCATGCTTAAGATAAGGGAGAATACAGGCCGTCCTATTGAACATGTTTATTTCATTACCGAGTTCAATCTTTCCCGTCTTTCTTTTCCTCACGCGAAGCTTTCGACATTGCCGAAGTTCCAAGGTACGATGCCTCCATGGGACTCGCAATTATTTCTTTGTCTCACGCTCATGACAAGACGAAAAGAACGTACCTGCCCGTTTTCCAACTGAAATAACACAAGGTACAGCCTACCTATCAGGATCTTCAGCATAAATTCTAGCCTCAAATGAGTGTCCAGTTAGCTTGATGTCGTCTTGTGTGAGAGGTAGGGCTTCACCTGCCGCAACTCTTAGCTGCCACTCGACCAGATCCTGTCCTGTGATCATCTCTGACACAGGATGCTCCACCTGGTGGACACAAAAGAATTCTGTCAGTCAACTCTGTCCCAAAAATTCCCAACGTAAAGAAGAGTGTAACTCGTTTTGCGAAGTTGCATGAGGCGACGAAAAAATCTGAGTTGTCTTCTCGGGACCGAAGCTTCGGATTTAGCCTGTGTATAGCCGCCCCTTGGCCTCCAAAAGAAATTAAGGGCACACAGGTTAAGCACCTGTCATCAATACTCATTTTACGTCACACATTTACTGTTCTACAGTACTCTTTTTACCTGTAAACGTGTGTTCATTTCCATGAAGTAGAAGTTTTGGTCTTTATCCATGATGAACTCAACAGTACCTTAAGAGGAAATAAAAACCATCACACCACACCCATGTATAACTTTCACAATTCCTTTACAGTTTCATTTTAATCATTCCTTTTTGTCTCAAAGACATAGTTACTTCTCATTAATTTAATTTACTGTCCTAAGGTCTTGGTATTGAAACCTTTTACACCCTGACATCAGTATGCATATTCTCCGTACTGTTCTCTATACATTAGCTAAGGT